TCAATGCAATGTGGCGGAGCAATTTATGCTTCAGATTTTGTGATTGCGCGCTTCGTGGTTTTGTCGACATGTGGGGCAGGGAAGAAAGGCGTTTCTTTCTTCATGGCATCAGGGTAACACTCAACCATGCGAAAAAATCTATCTACCAGGGTCAGCAAGGGTCCGGCCTGACAATGCTCACGGATTGGTTGCGACTCTTAACGACCTCGCGAAGCTTTTACCGCTTTTTACAGTTGGACAGTTTAGCTTGCAAGATTGGTTCGCGAATTCTGTTTCCAGCCGCGGCATTTACTGGGCAGTAATACCCGTACAGGCAGTGCTTGGTCGGTTGCTTACTGTACTAAATGTGCGACGCGACTTGGAGGAATCTTTTGAAATGGAATCTTCATGTTATGCTGCAACAACCCCGACAACAACACACGCTCTCACATCGTTGGCGGCGCAGATGAGACAACGTGTAAGGAAAACAACTTTTCCTTACTTTGCGCCCCTGCATATAGCGTACATGACGTTCCTGTAAGGAGAATTCATTTTTAAGTAGGTGTTAGGAGTGCAATAAGCAACGTAGCGAGGATTTCACTAAGTTGCCAAACGAGTACCAAGTATGAGCGAAGGCATGAGTGAATATTTACAAGCGAAACATGCAAACGGTAATGCGGCGTGTGCGAGCCAGCTAGTGCGATGCTGGCAACGAGGTTCATGCTAATCATGAAGCGTAGGCCGACTCGGATCACCCTAGTAGCGCAAAGTTTGGCAGAAGCAGCGCGCAAAGGGGGAAAAGGGTCCATTAGCTATAACAAGCGAAGAACGGTTGGTCTTGTATGTGATTCAGCGACATAGTAATGAATGCCGAAAAAATCCTTACACTATTCGGCCCGACCTTCTCAAGAAGCCCTCAGCTATGCGAATGCGTCTATACCGCGAATCCCTGGCTGCACAGGTACACTTGCAGGGCAGTGTGATTTTAAATATTGGATAAGGGCACCCAGCTGTCCTCTGTAGGGGTGGGGTCCTTAAGGGCCTCAGATTTCAGGAATTTTACCCTGATTTCCTGAAGTTTGACCCTAGTTTTTTATTGTGACCCTGATCTATCAGCCTTTTTCTTTTTACAACCCTGATGAATCAGTGTTTTATGTTTCCAAGGACTGATTTTCCAGTGTTTCCCGTTTGACGACACTGACGAGTCAGTGTTGTATCGGAGACGACCCTGAAACCGAAAACGAAAACTCCGTGATTCTCGCTGTTTTGCGCGCCGTCATCATTCATGTACCCACCCTGTACCGACGCCACCATGCGGCTCGCCCAGATACAGCTGAACGGGGTAATTTCGTGTTGGGTTGGCAAAACAGCGCAAAGAGATTGGCTGTCCAAGCTGATGCAAACGGTGCAAAGAGATTCGCTGCTTTTAAGTTATTTCAATTGTGGCTGTAGATTTACTGATCAGTGTTTTCTTACAAGGCACCCTGTTTGATCAGTGTTTCTTTTTCAACAACCCTGATAAATCAGTGTTTTTCCACAGGCAACCTTGATGATCAGTGTTACAGCCCCAAGGGACCCTGAGTGCTAAGGGTCACCCACAACGAATCTGAGGCCCTGGGGTCCTTCCAACGAACGAGGAATTCAATCCTCCAAATTCCCACAGAGTGGCAAATCCGATGGCTCAGAGATTTCTAGGCTCCGATGCAAGACGCGTCATCGATGGCGGGCAATGTCGTGAAAGTTGGCTCGTGGTTGAAATGTAGAGGCGAATGAGGCTGATTTGGTACGACGGGCTAATGTACCAATCAGTGGGTAGCATGAGGTGGGCGGTGACGGTTGTTATCATGTGGCTTATTTGGAACTGGCCACAGTAGAGCGGTCGAAATTTTGGCATGACGGGCAGGCATAAATTCAGAGCAGTACATAGTCGCCTAATTGGTATGTCACAGGGCAGCGGTGGTGGTCGTCGTTCCTTTTGGCAATAATGTTTGCCTTCCCCCCTTTTTTTCCTTCTTCTGTTCTTTACTTTTCGTCAGCTGCGCGCGTTGGGTAGCTTGCAGAATCTCGGCGAATTGTTGTGCGCGTGGCATGGGGTTGTCTGGACTCGGGGTCATGGGCACTGTGAGATTCTGCCTGTAGTTCAGGTAAAACGAGGACTGCTGCATTGTCGCAGTCGTGGTGTTGTTGTAGGCGAATTTAATCAGTGGCATTTCCTGCTCCCAGGCTGTCGGGTCATCGCACGGTCAGAAACAATAGGCAGAAACTAGAAACAGGAAAGAGGGTTTTCACTAGCAGGCAGTTGAGTACATATAGCAAACCCTAATTTGGGCTGTACTCGCTATAGAGTACCCCACTGCAGGCTAGACAAACATCACATTCTGACACACCCCCATAGTCAAAGTGGGGTATAATCAGCACAACAAGCAGGCAGAGCAATAGTTCACAATTATAAGCAAAGCTAGAGGCTATCACAGAGAGCAAGTGAGGAGGAGGAGAAACTGTGGGGGCGAGAAGATGCGAGACGACGGCTGAAGCTGCAGACACACGGGCAACAGGAGTGCGCAGCACTGTCGCTACCAGGCTAAACCCGGACTACACGGCGACAGGCGCAGCTGGCTCGCTGTGCTCCCAGGAGTGCGCAGCACTGTCGCTACCAGGCTAAACCCGGACTACACGGCGACAGGCGCAGCTGGCTCTCTGGACTACAGGCGCTGCGGACGACAAGACGGCTATCTCCACTCAACTTCCCCCAGCTGTCCCACACCCCTTTCACACACCCCCTGTTGAACCTCTAGCACTGCTCACACGCCACCCCCCTCGTACCACTCCGACGGCTCCAACACATCCACCCCCCTCAGCGGCAGCTGCAGCAGTGGGAGACGGAGGAGGAGGAGGAGCAGGGGACGGCGCACACACCCGTCACCCCCATACTCGCCACCCCCACACTCTCCACCCCCAAACCCTAACACAGGCAGGAGCGCGAGCAGCAGCGGGGGCGGTGCTCGTGTGAAGCGGGTCGATGGGGGCGGGCGCGGAGGTCCCCGGGGGCGGCACGCGGGTCCAGGGGAGGGGCGCGCGGGTCGACGGGGACGGGCGCGCGAGTCCCCGGGGGCAGCGCGCGGGTCGAAGGGGCGCCACGACGGACGACGGGGGGCCGCGCGCGGGTCCCCGAGGGCGCCGCGACGAACGACGGGGGGAGCCCGCGGGTCCCCGAGGGCGCCGCGACGAACGACGGGGGGGAGCCCGCGGGTCCTCGAGGGCGCCGCGATGAACGACGGGGGGTCCTCGGGGGTGCCACGACGGACGACAGGGGGCCACGCGCGGGTCGACGGGGCAGGAAACCGCCGCGCGTTCCGAGCGCGCGGCGGGAAGAAAAAACGCCGCGCGCCCTGAGCGCGCGGCAGGCAGAAAAACATCGCGCACGCAGGGCGTGCGATAGGCAATACAGCAGCGGAAGCATCGGATGGGACCACCCACAGGATCGACCCAGGAGGGTCGACCTGCTCTGATAGCATGTCAGAAACAGTAGGCAGAAACTAGAACCAGGATAGAGGGTTTTCACTAGCAGGCAGTTGAGTACATATAGCAAACCCTAATTTGGGCTATACTCGCTATAGAGTACCCCACTGCAGGCTAGACAAACATCACATTCTGACACGCACGTGGCGCAAATCAACCGCTCCATGGTCTGGTTCGTCCTCTCCATTTGACCGTCGGTCTCGGGCTGGTAAGACGAGCTGAACTATAGCTGGGTCCCGAACTGCTCCCACAAGTTCTTGTAAAGATTGCTAGTATACTTTGTGTCACAGTCGCTGATAATTACGACTCGTTTCCCATGCAGGCGAACTACGGTCGAAATGAATAGGCGAGTGGTTTCTATGGCTAAGATCAATTTCCAAAGCGAAGTAAAATGGGTCATTTTTGTCAAATGATCAATGACAACCATGATCGCGTCCTTACCACCAGAGCTCGAAGATAATCACGTGACGAAATCCATGGTAACCTGCTGCCAGGCGCGCTCGGGGGGCGGAATTGGCTGCACTTGACTAACCTTTTTCTTGCCCGAGCTCTTTACCACTTGACACGTGGGGCACTGTCCCAAGTGGTACTGTACATCGGTCAACAACTTCGGCCAATAATAGTCTGTTGCAGTTGCCGTTGCTTTTATTCAACCTTGAAATGACCCAAGATAACTCCGTTGTGTGCCTCCTGCAGTAGCAGTTCCATTTGTAGTGAGTATGCTAGTTCCTGGATGCAATTGGTGCCAGTTTTGGCTTCCGTCAGTGACTGTGAATTCTTGGTTGTGAACAACAGGTCAGTGCAGTATTTGTAAGTGAATAGGCCTGTTAACAGCGGGTTGATTTGGGCGATTAGGATGGCGTGAAGTTGGGCAATAGGGCGAGTGAGGGCGTCTACGATATTTAATGCCCCGTTCTTGTACGTGACGATGTAGTGAAAATTGTGTTAACGGGAGTGGAATGTTGGCCACACCCTCTGTGAGAGTACGACGGCTTATGCTTGTTATTCATGCTTGCTATTATTTCCTTACGCTATTCTAGCTTAGGTTTATTTTCTGCATGCATGAATTGCTTGATTTCCTAGGTTCGTTGCTTTACTATAGTTATTATAGTTATAGGCACCGAACCAGGTTACGTGTACCGAACTCAAGCTATTCGGTTGCCACCGAATTGCTTTCTACCGAGTTCGGGAAGGTTCTGTTCAGGACGCTTCGCGACCCTCGGAACATTCGCGTAACACCTGGGTTACCTGCCTTGTGTTGAGCCTATATATAGCCTCGTGTTGTACCCAGGTGATCATTCAATTCAAACTCTCTTTTCTGAGCTCGATCCTAGATCCTCACACTTGGTAATCAGAGCCCGTTTACACGCGAAGTTCTTTCGACCGCTAAAAACCAGTCTTAAAAAAACCGCGGGGGCGACGCAGTTAAACATCGATTTCGGGTACATAAAACCGGTTCCGTGTTTTTCGATCCCCCTAGATTCGGTTTTTCGGACGCGTTGATGTCAGGCATGGAGGGCCAAGGCGACAATTACGCGACTACGAGCGACATCGCGAGCCTCCGTGCCGACATGTAGAAGACGCAGGCGACGCTTCGTCGACTCGAAGCCCTTCTGACAAACCAACCAGGCTTCGCCACCGCAGCAGCAACGACCGCAGCGAATGCAGCACCGACAACTCCAGCAGCAGTGGCGACACCGACATTTCACGGACCGATGGCACCACTGTCGCCGAACCTCGAAGCAGCACGACCGAGGCTCCCTGAAGCGTTCGATCCAAGCGCGAAGGGATCCGACGTCCGGCGATTTGTGGCCACCCTCGAAATTTACTTCGAGGCCATTGGCTGTTCGACCCCGACGTACGATGCAGCAAGAATCCGGCTCGCAGCGACACTGTTACGTGGACCGGCACTCGAGTGGATCTACAACACCGACGTGGCCCGCGGGGAGAAATCGTGGGCGCAGTTTCGGGCAGATTTAATCGAGCGTTTCGAACCGATTAATACTACCTACATGGCGCGGCAACAAATTCATCGGCACAAGCAGTACAGTAGTGTAGCACAGTATACTCAGCAGATGGAGTTACTGTTCAACCGCATCCCCGACCTGACCGAAGGCGAAAAAATCCAGGCGTACACAGAAGGGTTAAAATTAGAGATTCGGCGGCACGTGATCGCGGCGAATTACAACAGCTACAGGGACATCGTGCGTGCAGCCGAACGTTACGACGCGCTGACTCGAGGTCAACCCGAAACACGACGTTTCGCGCCGAACCGTACATTCGGCACGGAGCGATCGGCACCCCCCACGTTCGCCGAACCGATGGATATCGACAAATTTGACGCGAAGCAGCAGTCGGCGAAATGCGAATTTTGCGGCGCAGCAGGGCATCAGATTTTGTCGTGCTACAAAATGAAGAAAGCACGTGCGGCACTCCGGGACGGTAACAGTGGAGCACCCCCGAAGTAAAAAAACGGCAGTCGCCAGTAGCCGCGGATCGACCTGGCGATCGCGTAAAGATCCGAAAAGCAGGAAAAGGCGTTGACGTGGCGACTTCGGAGCGGGTGAAAAAAGGAGAAAATGATGGCGCGAATATAAAACGTCACGACCGGCCGGCATCAGGGGAAATCGCCGAGGCGAATGGTGGCTCCGCGAAAAAAGACTCTGCACCGACCGGGAAACTCCAGCCGGACCCCCACGAAAGTAAGAATTCGTTAAAAGTATCCTATAAAGATACTCTAACGAAAAATATTGCTTCTCGTGGTTTTCAAGCCTTTGAAAAATTCAGGGGAGAATTAGAGGCCAAGAAAAAGCCTTTAGAAATTATTCAGGTACCTGAAATGTTGGGCAAAGTATTACGGAGCGTAGAAAAGGGTCGTGCGTTCCGTGGAGTTAATATTCTCTCCCCGCAGCATAGTGCTAAGCTCCCCGTTGCCCACAGGTGAAGCCTACACAGCTGCAAAGGCTTAGAGGAGACATCCAGGCTCAGGAGAAATTATACAAGCCTCGGAAAAATCCTCCTACCCCCCAGGTGAAGTTGGAAAGTGCTGAGTCGGGTATAGGAACTAGGGAAGGTATTCATTTTGATGTACCCTATGATCCTATTAATGAGACCCTCTTTGGCTACTCAGCACAGCAGAAACCACTACTCCTTGAGGTGTTATGCAATGGGCGACGCCTCCAGGCACTGGTGGACAGCGGTGCATCTCACTCGGTGTGCGACCGCGAAACATTGGAGAAAATTGGAGAGAAGGCAAAGGAGACCCAGTTTTCAGCAACCATGGTGGACGGTACGAAGCTTCCCATCCACGGCGAAGTATCACTACAGCTGCATATAGGTGCGTTGAGGTGGAAGCCGAAGCTACCAGTCACCAACATCAAAGGGTTAGATTTTATCTTGGGGCGAGATTTCCTGAAGCGGTTCAACCCCGAGATCGATTGGGTCAACAGAAGAGTGTGCATCTACAACAACGGGAAGCGGATAGCACTACGAAGCTGGACGGATACAGGGGACATTCCTGAAACGACACTGGCACGGTTTGAATAGACGGTGAACGAGAGTAACACGGGTTACCTAGCACTGGTCATGGCAGCAGCAGAGGAGGAGAAGCCGGGTTCCGAGCTACCCGCAGCAGTGAAGGAGGTCTTGGAGCAGTACAAAGATATAATGCCCGACGACCTACCTGCAGGCGTACCTCCAGCACGCACCCACGAGCACGAGATCGTGGAGGAACCAGGTGCGAAACCCGTCTCACGTGCACCATACCGAATGATTCCGACCGAACTGACAGACATGAAAAAACAGATCGAGTATTTACTGGACAGACAACTGATCCGACCATCCACCTCTCCCTACGGCGCACCAGTTCTCTTCACCCCAAAACCAGACGGCAGTTTACGGATGTGCATCGACTACCGCGCACTGAACAAACAGACAGTAAAAAACAAATACCCCATACCGCGCATCGACGACTTACTGGACCAACTGCGTGGTGCAACAGTCTTCTCGAAGCTGGACCTACGGTCGGGTTATTGGCAGATCAAAATGGCGGACAACTCGATCCACAAGACGGCGTTCCATATGAGATACGGCTCCTACGAATACTTGGTGATGCCGTTCGGACTCTGCAACGCACCAGCGACGTTCCAGGCAGAGATGAACCACATCCTACGGCCCCTGCTGGACGAGTGCGTAGTGGTGTACCTGGACGATATCCTCATCTACTCCAAGAACATGAAGGAGCACGTGGAGCATCTGCGGAAGGTGTTCGAGATCCTGCGGAAAAATAAGTTCTACGTGAAGCTGTCAAAGAGCGACTTCGCACTGAAGAAGGTGCAGTTTTTCGGGCACATGGTGAGTGCCGAGGGCGTACACGTAGACCCGCGGAAAATCGAAGCCGTTAAGAAGTGGAAAGTTCCGGAGAACGTGAAGGAGTTGCAGCAGTTCCTAGGCTTCGCCAACTACTACAACAGGTTCGTGCCACAGTACGCTAAGATAGCAGCGCCACTAACCGACCTACTGAAAAAGGACACGCCCTTCAAATGGGGTGCTCCTCATCAGCAAGCCATGGAACAGCTACAGACAGCACTAACCACAGCGCCAGTACTCATCCTACAAGACCCAGAAAAGGACTACGTAGTTGAAGCAGACGCTAGTGACCAGGCAGTCGGAGCAGTACTGATGCAGGATCACGGGAACGGGTTACAGCCTATCGCCTACCTCAGTAAGAAACTACACGGAGCAGAACTGAACTACCCCATTCACGACAAGGAAGCCTTAGCCATAGTCGTAGCCTTCAAGGCATGGAGGTGTTACCTAGAGGGAGCCAAGACCACAGTATACACTGACCACTGCAGTCTCAAATACCTGAAGTCGCAGCCAACGCTCTCACGACGACAGGTGCGGTGGGTGGATTTCTTGGAGACCCACTTCCACTACGACATCGTCTACAAACCCGGGCTACACAACAAGGCAGACGCGTTGAGCCGCCCCGGTCATGTAGCAGGCATCCAGCTCGACGGGATGAACCCTCTCCTCAAGGGTCTATTCCAACATGGGTACTCCGTGGACGGCGAGATAGCAACGGCAGAGAAACAGAAGCTGTTACAGTGGGAGAAAGACTTAGCGGTAAGGAAGGGTTCAGGAAAGATTTGGGTACCGAATTACGCCCCGCTACGGCAGATCCTTCTAGAGGAGTTTCATGACGTACCATACGCGGGACATTTCGGGAGCAACAAGACGTTAGCGAGAATATCGAAGTATTACTACTTGCCCAGGATGGCAGCAGACGTGCAGCAGTTCGTCACCTCCTGCGACACGTGCCAGCGGATGAAGAGTAGCAAGCAGAAGAAAGCAGGGTTACTTCAGCCTCTACCCGTACTGGAGCAGCCATGGCAGGTCGTTAGTCTCGACTTCATCACAGGACTTCCTTCGACCTCACGGGGACACGATTCCATCCTCGTAGTCATCGACAAGTTCTCCAAAATGGGTCACTTCATACCGACCAACGCCACAGCTACAGCTGAAGCAACTGCTCGACTCTTCTTCGACCGCATCATCACCATCCACGGCATCCCCGCTACACTCATCTCAGACAGAGACCCCAAATTCACGTAAAGTTCTGGAAGGAGCTTATGGGACTGTTGGGGACTAAGCTTGCGATGTCTTCAGCATACCATCCCCAGACTGACGGACAGACGGAGCGACTCAATCAGGTGGTTGAACAGTTACTGCGCACAGCTTGCAAAGACGACATCAGCCACTGGGACACACAGTTACCGACCTTAGAGTTCGCTTACAACAACGCCTCGCATGCGGCCACAGGGAAAACACCTTTCTTCCTGTGTTACGGACGAGAACCACTCACACCACAGCAGCCAACCACACCGGCACACGTCCAGGCCGCACACGACTTCGTCACCCCTATGCAGCAGCTATGGGAGAAGACTCAGCGGCGTCTCACCACGATGCAGAACTCCCAGAAGCAGTATGTGTCAGAATCCCAGTCACTAACCACTAGGATAAAAGGGCTTGTTTGTGTAGCGGGTGAGTGCGCCCATAACCCCCCAGGCCAACATGCCTGTAACCCTTCCCTAGGATCATCGGGGATCTCCAGTGGACCTCTGACACCCCCCCGCACTGGGATGCCCGAGGTGCACACACCGGGATTCGAACCCGAGACCTTCGCTCTGATACCGTGTCAGAATCCCAGCCACTAACCACTGGGATAAAAGGGCTTGTTTGTGTAGCGGGTGAGTGCGCCCATAACCCCCCAGGCCAACATGCCTGTAACCCTTCACTAGGATCATCGGGGATCTCCAGTGGACCTCTGACAGTATGCCGATCGCCAGCGACGAGATCACTCAGTAGCAGTCGGAGATCAGGTGCTTCTTGACACGCGCAACTTGAACCTGTCTCACCTACCATAAAAACTCCGGCCTCGCTTCTGTGGTCCATTTCTCGTGGAGGCACAGGTGACACCAGTTACATTCCGCTTGCGCTTACCAGATACATGGAAGCTTCACAACGCTTTCCATGTTCAGCTACTGAAACCCTACAAGGACCCCAACCAACAGTTCTAGGGACGGCAGCTACCGCCACCACCACCTGTTCTTGTGCAGGACGAACCAGAGTACGAGATCGAGCGTGTTCTCACTCATCGGCGCCGCGGCGGCAAGACCCTCGAGTTCCTGATACGCTGGAAGGGATATGACCCCACTGAGGACAGTTGGGTTGCAGAAGCTGATATGGCCAACGCACGCCGTGCTCTCCAGGACTATCTTGTCAAGCAGGGTGTATCTCACGCCACCCAGCTTTGAGGGGGGGACGTGTGAGAGTACGACGGTTTGTGCTTGTTATTCATGCTTGCTATTATTTCCTTACGCTATTCTAGCTTAGGTTTATTTTCTGCATGCATGAATTGCTTGATTTCCTAGGTTCGTTGCTTTACTATAGTTATTATAGTTATAGGCACCGAACCAGGTTACGTGTACCGAACTCAAGCTATTCGGTTGCCACCGAATTGCTTTCTACCGAGTTCGGGAAGGTTCTGTTCGGGACGCTTCGCGACCCTCGGAACATTCGCGTAACACCTGGGTTACCTGCCTTGTGTCGAGCCTATATATAGCCTCGTGTTGTACCCAGGTGATCATTCAATTCAAACTCTCTTTTCTGAGCTCGATCCTATATCCTCACACCCTCACTTGGGCAACACTGACTTCCGGGCGGATGTGCGGGAGTTGCAGCCGACCTTACGCAGTGTTGGAGATGCTCAACGCGCTTTGTCGAGCTGCAAGGGATCACTACGCTGTGGCCGTCGACCAAGGGTGCTCGCGGCCTTATTCTGCGGAGCAGGACAACGAAGTGGTCGTCGACCTGTACAAGTGTGTCACGGGGCTAGAGCCGTCAACCAGGGTGCTCGACGGTTGCAGCTGACTGGATTGGTCGACGGGTGGGCCTTCGACCAGGAGGAGCAGTTCGACCAGGAGGTCGACGAAGCAATCCGTCGACCTGACATGTGAGTGGTGGTCGACGAGGGGGGCTCGGCGACACCAGGTGACAGTGCTGGTCGTCGGAGGGGTCCGTCGACTAGGGTGTTGCTTGACGGAGCTGAGGTCGACCAGAGGCACTCGGTGGTCGACCAGAGCTCTTGGTGGTCGACCAGAGGAACCTGGTGGTCGACCAGGGGCACCTGGTGGTCGACCAAGGGCACTTGGTGGTCGACCAGAGCACCCAGTGGTGTCCAGGTCGACCAGGTAACCTGCTCGACGAGTTCTGCGGAGGCACGCGAACGTCGTCGAGGTCGCGATGGCGAAGGCGACTTCGGGCTGGTATCCCGAAGTCGATGTGGCACGTCACACGCAGACAATAGCCGATGGGTGCACAACGATGCAAGTCGGGCCAATCGTCTGCGTGCACCTGCCTACGTGCGCAAACTGTCTTCTATGGGGCAACGCTGGACAGCCGCTTTGCTGCAGCGTTGGCACGCCGTCGATATGCTCTGTTGGCAGGTCGCCTTTCTGAAGTGCTGGCGTGGCTCCCCTACTCAACACTGGCAGGCGGTCGACCATGCGGTGCTGGTAATTGACCACGCTAGCTGCAGATTTGCTAGGTGCCTGATGTAATTCATTTCTGTCATTGCTTGTTCAATCATTCTGTAATTCCAACTTTGCTAGTGGAAACTCTTGCCAATTTCTCCCGTGAATGTGCAAACACTAAGGAACTAAGCAAAGCTATGATAATTCCTAGTAGGTCGTACCAACCCCCGTAGTCTAGCTCATTACCGTTGTAGAGTGACTCTCCACATGGTGCGTTAAGCGTGGAACGGGCCCGCATATTACCTTCAGATAGGAGGCAACTTTTTGCACCTACTAAGTCGTTCGTAGGCCGGCAACCATCCTAGTCGCCATGGTCGACCCTGTACCTGATACGGGAGTTGCAGACACCTTGGAGGCACGATTGGCTGATGCGAGGAGACGCCACGCGGATGGCGAGTATGGGACGTTCCCCTTGACGATCACTGATTTGGGCACCCGGGCACAGTGGTCGACGGATCACCCTTCCCGTCCTGCTTCTCCTCGACTGGTGCGAAACGAAGGTGACGTCGACGACGAGGTTGACGGCGGTGCACGGGCCAGCGGTACCGATGGCACGAAGAAGAGAGGGCGATTAAGGTCGACGGTGGCGTTGACGGGAGTCAGGCGCGAGTGCAGTGGTCGACAGCAGCCGCAGGCAACTCGCGGGTCGAAGCCGATGGTCGACGTCGCTCTCCTCTATGAAGTGGTGGAGGGCTCTCGGCGACGACGCATGTGACAGCGGGCGGGATTGCACCGGCGTATGGCTACTTCAAGTTCTCGCCGGACCGGATCATCGTCACACCGCTGCAAGGTCGACGATACCTCATCACCTAGAGGGAGTCCATAGAACCACAGCTGGAGGTCGCCATGAAGGGCTTTGCCGACGGCATTGTGCCAATTCCGCCCGAGGACGATGTCGAGCTGCACAGGGAGTTTCGTGCTGCTCACTTGCTCACCTTCATGGTCATCTCGAGGTGCTGCTCGCCGGTGGTGCAACTAGCACTCAGGTCATGTTGAGAGCGACTGGATGCTGGTCACCAAGCATGGCACTTCATCCTGTCGACGTACCAGGCGAAGGACGACCTGTACATCGGACAGCTGGAGGAGAAGATGACACATCTTCGGATGGGTGAGCAGGAGTCGGCGACGGACTACTGCAACCGTGCTCGACGGATTCTAGCCGAGATGCGGATGGCGGGCGCCGAATACTCTACGGCGTCCTACATCACCCACGTCGTCAGAAAATCTGCCAGCTGCTCGGAGGTCAATCTTTCCCCGCTTCACCATGTGCTGCAGCCAGGCGTAGCGTCGCTCCATGTGCTTGAGGTTGCCCTTGAGCCCCAAGCCCTCAGCGACAATGATTGCCGACTGGTTGTCCACGTGCAAAACAGTCAGCCTCCTTGTGTCGAGAAGTCGGAACTCTGCAAGGAGGAAGCACAAACGGCGAGCCGCCTTGCCGTCTTCCGTGGCCGCGACGTACTCCGACTCGGTCGACGAGAGTGTTGCATACTTGATGTGCTGGCTCGACTAGGAGACTGCGTCCCCTCCGAAGACAAACATGTAGCCGCCCGTGCTCGTCCGATTCTGCTAGTCGCAAGCTTCCTCGGCATTTGCATAGCCGACTAGTCACAGCGACTCAAGTTTGCCGCCGAACTCCAGAGCGGCGTCACGAGTTTCAGCGAGGTAGTGCAGACAGCGATCGACCTCACGCCAGTGGTTGTCGCTCCGTACTGTCAGGTCGGATCCGAGCTTGCTGCAAGTGAAGGCAATGTCGGGCCTCGACATGGTGGTCGCGAACTGTAGCGAACCGACCTTCTGCTGGTACTTTGCTTCCTCGCGCGATTGGAACTCCTCGTCGTCGAACATCAGCTCTGCGTAGGCGTTGACAGAGACAGGCATCTTCAGTACTCCTCGTCGATGAAACGCCGACAAAGCTTGTCGACGTAGACTTGCTGGTGCTGCCACAGCTTCCGCCCAACATGGCAAAGCTGACCGCCCTGTTTACTGACCTGCTGAGGAAGGGGGTTGAGTACACGTGGGGGGAGAAAGAGCAAGCTACCTTCTCAGCCGTTAAAGAAGTTTTGTGCTCACTGCTCGTAGTTCACATTGCTGATCCTCACCGCCTGTTTGAACCAGTCACAAATGCAAGCGACATCGCTGTGGGAGCATTACTGGTACATGACTCCGAGAACGGCCTCCAGCCTAATGCGTACGAGTCCCGAAAGCCTAACCCGCAACTACCCGATACACGACCTCGAAATATTAGCGATCGTGCACACACTGAAAGTGTGATACTGCTACCTCACAAGAGCCGACGTGATAGTACGCACAGATTACCAATCACTATAGTACCTTTGCTGTCAGAAATAACTGAGCAGGAATGGATGAACTAGAACAGAGTTTGGTACAAGTAGGAAACCCTAACTTTGTGTACCCCCTAAGGTGTAACCCACTACAGCCTAGACAATATAAACATGCAATGTTTGACACACCCCCATAGGCGCAGTGGGAGACAACCACAGGGTCACAAGACCAGTCAAA